TATCATTAATTATAGCCGTTAGGGTTTCTTTGTACATACCCTATATATAGGGATTTTCTGTTAATGATGAAGGTATCGAGTTTTGCAAACTTTTAGTATTATGTATTTTTGAACTGAGGGAGCATTTATTAGTACCTGTCATGACGACCTGTTCTGTGCGTTTGTTCCTTTCTCTTCTTATGATCTTGACTCACTTCAAACTGGTTATGATGTGAGACCTGCTTACCTATGAACAGCCCATATGTCATGGATTTTTAGTGTTTCACTTCCACTGCTTGTAAAACTTCTTTTTTCCGGATATCTTGAGTAGCATTTTATGGAAAACTATTACTATTTCTTGATAACAAACTTCAGTTATTTAAGCTTTGCTTTTTGGTATTATTTCTTCATTGATTTACGTTCAATTTTTTCAATGTTTATACTAGACTTTTGATGCTGTTGATGGAAAACAAGCTAGACGGACAAATTCTTCTAGTCCATTAGGAGAACTTTTTGATCATGGTGATTAATGATTCTCCCTTGCCCTCCCCACTAATTGTGTCTCTCGCACTCCCTTATGCTCATTTCCTGATCGCCTTTTTTCCCCTTTCTTTGCCTTGGTTGTGTGCTAAATTATGTAAAAATTGATGGTTTTTACTGATTTTGCAGGATGTGATGCACTTGCATGTGCGGTATGTCTTGTTTGATACTTAATTCCACTTGCTTTTCCAACTGCACTGTTCGTTTTACCATTTCTTGATGCATGATTTAGTTGGAGGCCTTGGCTTTTGGGAGCACTGCCATGTGTGGAAGAAATACATTTTGGTTCTGGGTGATTTCAGCTGTTCCGTTTTACTGTGCAACTTGGGAGCAGTAAGTAGTCAGAGTAATCCTCCATTTCTGCAACTTCATTTATTTTGAATAATCCTTGCTCAAATTTCGGATAAATACATGTCTTGCCAACAATATTGTTCTTAACCCCTACATTGAGAGCTTTGTTGTGGTTGTCATCTTTCTGTCTCTTCTTAAATGGTGGGGACAGTTGTTCAGCCAAATCTTATGGATAATGTTTGAACATGCCAAGCTATTAGTTTATGGAAATTTTTGAGAACATGTGATTTTGAAACCCTTTTCCGAACTTAGCACACGATAAATCAGAAGAAGAGAGATGAAAAAACTTATGATCTAGTCAGGTCCATACCATTACTAACTTATCTCTTCCAAATGATTCTGATAAAATGAAAAGGCTGAGAGTAAATACCAGAACATGATTGTAGTCTGACCTGAGGGACCTCCGTTGAACTCTTGTTGACAAATCTTGGTGTAATTAAACAAAAACCTTTGTTTGTCCAGTGAGCAAGGGGATCTTTGCTCTTTCTTCTTGATGAAGGGAACTGGATAATTAAGTGAAGGAAACAGCAGAACATTGCTTGGGCTTGCAGTTTAGCCGTAAAAACCATGCCATTGTACTTTAATGGTTTATGCTCACTTTATGATTATCATCATGCCATTCAGTAAACAAATAATGACCTCCTATGCTTTTTATAAAAAAGTCTGTTCAATGTGAGGTCCAATCGTGGAGGATAGTAAATACACAAAGCCATGTTGCCTCTTTTTTCATGTCTTATTGGGCAAAAGGGTTATACATGTTTGGAAAAGTTCCTCAATTAGATAACATGCATTTGAACACTGCAATGTAATACTTCCTCGTGCAGTTTCCATAAAGTCTTTTCCTACTGGTTATCTTTTTCTTTTTAATATCAAATGTTACACCATATTCCTGCATTACCTATTGAGCCATGAAATACCATTGTTTCAAGAATCTGCTGAAGTATTTTTTGCATGTCGCAGCTATTTCACCAACACCCTAATCCTTCCAGCAGTAAATGGGCCTACAGAGGGTCTCATGTTGATATATACAGCACATTTCTTTACAGCTATCGTTGGTATGCCACTTCAAGGATGCAAATACTTGCTATTCATTCCTTACGACTAAATCATTGGCTTAAAATGACATTCATTACATCATAGCTGGTTACATATAATTACAGGTGCAGAGTGGTGGGTCCAGGATTTTGGGAAGTCTATCCCTCTCCTGAGTTGGGTTCCTTTTATAAATGGTAAGAAAATGCCTCTCTTATGCACACTTCTCGTACAACAGAGGAACTTTTATGCATGTTTAACTGCAGATGAATTCTAATTTCCTGGCAAACACCTATCATCTTCTCCAAAGTCTGAGATGATCATATACTTTTCCATAGGAGGTCAGCCTTTCAAAATGGGATACATCATCCACTGTGACCATGCTGCCAAGGCAGATTTGGGATCGATCCTGTGTACCATATATGCTGCTGCTATGTTTTGAATGCGCTTGTTTAATTTACCTTACAGACCTACACCAAATTGGTCTTCATAGCATACTGATATAGAATTCTCATGTTCCTTCTAGCACATGAAGTGTAGGCATGTGCCAGAAGTGACCTCATCACCTTAACCCTTTGCCATTGCTCCAAGTCTGGAAACCAATTACAATGTATGTCCACTTTGGTATAGCCCTGCCCAGCATGCCCCTGTGCTAGGCTTTGGTTCAATTCTTCCTGCTTCTTGCAAAATCCACTCATGATCTTTGATTTGCACCAGCCTGCACTCAAGTTCATCTTTCCTGAATAAAGAACTTACACAATAACATCACATTATAAAGACAATAATAACCTACAAATATGTGATATGATAAAAATATATTGCTGTGTATCAACTTTTCATCACATCACATGCTTTTGCGTTAGAAGGCAAATGGTATTTATATCTAGATTAACCTTCCAAATTATGCGTTGTTGCATTTATCATGGAGAGACCTAATGATCATTGCTGAATTTATTTAGGATTGAGATATATTTTGCTGCCTTTTGATCTGATCATATCATTGTATTCAGGAGTCACTACCTATGGAGCTGTTTTGTTGTTTATGGTACTTTTTGCTGTTATACCCACTGTCTCATTCAAGTAAGTAAATCTCTTCAGTTCATCAAAGAAGTTTCACTATTTTTTTACCTTATTGCATAATTATAATGTTTTTTGGATCTCTAAATCCATCATAAAGTAACCAATGTCTATATCAGCAATGTTTTTACCTTATGGCAAATTTTTAGCTGCTAAACAGAGTTTGTATTATAAGTTCAAGTGTCACCATGATTTTGCTTTATAGAGTTGAATTGCACTTTGTATCTTGTACATAAAATGATTTACTCAAAAAAGATATAAATATGCAAAAAAGTGGATTTGGTCAGACGCCTTTGCATTTGGTCTTTTTTTTCTCGTTCAGATGTGAAAACCCTCAACAATGTCTGACTGGTTAAGCAAGAAAAAAGCTTGAAGGTTTAAAGAATCATAGTACACATCTGAAATAAGATATGCCAACGAGTTGATTTTAATTTTTCTTGTCCATGGAGGAAGATGATGGTGGTGGTGATGGCTCTCTCATCTTGTCGTTGTTGGTGGTGGTGGCGGTCATTTTGTTATTAGAGAGAGAGAGGGAGTGGTCATAGTTTTGTTTTAGGTATTTCCTGCCAGTTTGTTTTGGTTTCTAATTTTGTTTTTGTTTGTTTTTAATTTTATAATTTGATTAAATATTTATGTTTACAAAGTGATTTTTTTTGTTAATTCAGAAGAGTAAAATGGACAAATACATGCATAAGGATAATCTTATTAGGATCACTTTTCAATCATTTTGAATTGTTCGGGCTTAAGCATCAGAAGCTGTCTTAATTTTCAGATGGATTTCAGGCTTCAACACTTCAAAAAACAAACAAGCCCTAAGTTAACCTGATACCTACACTTTTCTTGTCCACTAATATGTCCATTTCTATCCAAACTTAAGAAGACTTTTTATCCATTCAAATATTGCAGTTGTAAGTTGCTATATCACTTTCATTTAACTTGCTCTGTATTTTCCTTGCTCACAGTGTACAGAATGTTTATGAGGTTGTACAATCGAGAAAAGGAAGCATGCTAAACGCCTTGGCTATGGTAGCTATATCCTCTTGTGAACTGTACTGTTTTGTTGATCCTTAAGAGGCTTATTTGATGTTTTGTTATCTTTTCTTGCTAGCTTGTTCCATTTGGCGTGCTGTTGGGGGTAATCCTTCTCTGGTATGCAACTTCTCTTTTGTATCTACTTCCTGACCATTTACCATATTCTACTCCCTTTGCCCCCTTCCCTTTTTAGATGTCCCATGGAAATTGCCACCTATATAACCGTGGTAGTTTGAAAATTTGTGTGGAGTCGATGTTTTCATGGGATGGAGGAGTTTCTTTTTTATGTTCTCAGGCAGACTTTTATCTGTTTTTCAGGGATTGTATGTCTCCATCTAATTTAATCGTAAACTACCCACATATGGTTGTGATGGGAACTGGACTAGCATTTGGATTCCTTGTGGTAAGGTTATACGTTAATCGTAACCTGCCAAAGTGTTCTGTTATCTCTTGAATTGTATATATTTCAGTTTATTCATTGTGCCTCATGACAACTTCCATGTCATTCCTCCCTGTCTAAAGTATGTTCACGGAAATAATGGCTGGCTTTGAACTACCTTAGGCTTGAGCATTGTGGGTATTTACATTCTCCAAGTATAGTTTTACACGGCTGGTAACAATTTTTCGATTTTTAAGGAGGAAACACATCCCCATAACTTTTGATAAAAATGCATCCCCATTATTTTTTAAACTGCATGCAGGAAAACTTTGCTGTACAATGTAAAACCATTGGGATTCAGCTTTACACTCTATGCTTGTGCATGTATAGCTTTAACCAGCAGGTAGAGTGTTTGCGATATGTGTTTATACTTTGGAGTCATATTCTGCAGCAAACTCAAGCGTTTAGGTTGACGATCCTTTAGTCTAGTAGGGCCAGTTGCTATTGTTGATCATTTGGGAAAACTGCGCAATTGTGCCAATTTCACTTTCTTGATCCTGGTACCTTATAGAAGGGGGTATAATATGGAACTTGAAATTTGGCGTTTGTAGTACTCCACCCACATGGCATGTGTCACAAATCCTAGATTTATGCTTTTATGTCAAATAAATTGGTCACAGCAAGTTAAATCCATGTTCAATTGAACATTTCAATGTATTATGGAAGTAGGTAACTTATGTGGTGAGTGGTGACTTCACAAACGAAATTACTCAATGAACTAATTTTCTTCTTGATGGAGATATTGATATGAAATAAGAATTTATGAACTTTGTCCATGTTGATGTCTGAAGACTGGCTACTTCATATTGGCATTTATATCTTTGGCAGGGAAGGATGATATTGTCTCACTTGTGCGATGAACCTAAGGGATTGAAAACCAGTATGTCCATGGTATGTTATACTCAACACCCAGAAAGTCATCGCATCTATATATATATATATACACACACATGCAACTGTCGTGTCTTGTTCTTTCTATTTTACTCTTGGTGACCAGTTGACATCCTTGTTCAATATTTCAACAACTGGTGGTAAGTTGTACTCAAAACCCAGAAAATTATTGCATAATATATATACACATACATACACACACACACACACACATATATATATATATGTGCAATTGTCGTGTCTTGTTCTTTCTATCTTGCTCTTGACGACCAGTTGATATCCTTGTTCAAAATTTCAACTACCTGGGAATCTTCCACTTTGACCCTTTTTCTGTCAATAATCAGCTGAACTTTAATAGATAAGTAAATATTTGATTGTGGTTATATTTTCTGTTGTTAAATTGCAGTCTTTGTTTTATCTTCCGCTTGCAATTGCAAATACGCTCACGGCCCGGTTAAATGATGGGTATGTAGTCATCTAGCTCATAGTTTAAGTCATAATTTCCTTATCTTTTCCTGTAGAAAATCAGGAACACGAGATTTTTTCATCATTTTCCCCTGCTAGTTTGTAACTAATAGATAAGGATGTTTGAATTTGTAGCAGAACTCCGCTGGTTGATGAGAAATGGGTTCTTCTTGGTTTCTGTACATACACAGGTACGGCGATCAGCATCATGCTTTGAAATCTTCATCATTTGCACCACTTGAAATAATTCTTGAAAACGTCCATTTGCATTTTGTTTCCATGTACTTAGCTAAACAGTATTTCTTTCATGTAGTTCAAAATACTTTGTACCCCAACTAGTTTGGGATAAAAGGCAAATGACTATCCTAACCTTCCACAGCGATCATTTTAAATCGCACGTTTAACACAATCTCATCCAGTGCTTATCATCCGCTATTAACTGCATAAACAATAATGGACCAGAGGAATTTGGGGGTATTCTAGTTGGTATATAAACATCATGTTTCTTGAAGAAAATAGAAAGTGTGCATATGGTCAATGTTCTTAAACCCTGCAAAAAGTCCACTTGCCAAATACTAGTCTTCTGCAGAAAGTATAGATGGAGTGATTAACATTTCCAGCTGTTGTATTTAAGTTTTTGTTGCAAAAGCAGAACACTCTAGTTTACAAGAATGAACAGTTAGAAGGATTTTGAAAATGTAATTGCAAACAGACCATTGTTTTTGGCACGTTCTATCTGATATCATTCATCGATGTCTCTTTTGCATTTTTGTTTGAAAATGATTGTGCAATGAAAACTTCTCCATCGTTTGAAAAGTTAAATCACTCGGTTCTATGTGATGTCAGTCAACCGTGTTCTTGTGTACATTCTTCTCAGAGAATCGTACTATTTATTCTTTGTTTATATCTTACCTTGTAGTCTCGGATTAATTAATACTCTTATTTCATCATCATATGCTTGTTTTCTTTTCCGTTTGGCTTTTGTTGGCTGAAACAAGTTTCTGGTCATTGCAGCTGCACTGTATCTGCACTTTGCGACATCAGTGATTCATGAAATAACAGCAGCTCTCGGAATCTACTGTTTTAGGTAACAAAACCTCGATTAGTTGACTTGTTGTATTGGTTTTGCTTGTTGACTTTTTTGACCACTAATACTGTATTCCTGTGGTAAACATGATCAGAATTACAAAGAAAGAGGCTTGAGACGTGTTCATGTTCCATAGTAATTAAGGTATGCATGCTTTTGATCTTGATGTTTCATTTTTTAGAGGCCTACTTCTGTTACCAAACAAATCCGGGTTTCGAATTTCAGGTTTACGATGGTCTTTGCGCTACTGCTAATGATGTCTTAACACTGAGCTTGAGCTGAAGATAAGTTATGAAGATGTAACTAGACTTGACCATTATGTGCCTTGTTTGTGTATCATTTAGTTCTTAATTTTAGATTTAATTAAGCTTAAAAGATGGTTTTCTTATGATTGTCTATTGTCTTAAGGGCCGTTTACCAACACTTACCGGTTAAGTGCTTGCTTTATCATGTGAACATGGTAAGGCCAAGAATTTTACCCGATGGTAGGCGACTATAAGGACCGAGTCTTGTCCGGTAATCGAGTCCGTGAGCGCTTACTTTCGGTAAAGAGGGGTTAACCAACAATTAATTTTGATGACCGAGAATGTTAATGAGATAAGGGGAGCGACTTAACCATTCTATCATATCTTATCTAATAGATGACCAAATTAGTACAAGTTTACAACGGGTCCTGCCCTTCAAAAGCCTTAATTGGTTCTAACATAACTGTTCCCGGTTCGGATTTGTCTTCGTGAGAAAATACATTACTTGTTAAAGACCCCCCCCCCCCTTTTTTGTGTTGCGTATTAATTATATATTTATAATGTCATAATTACATGAGTATGAACGTAAAAGAAATTAATTAATTTTAATATAAATGCTTAACCTGTTACGAAACAAACCAGTTGATGGACAACTTACAAAGCATTTTACTCATCGTAATTCGTCATTAATGGTTGATGAAATTTGAATATGAATAGGGAAAATAAAATAAAATTATTAAAAATAAATAAAATGTAATTCATCCTCACGAGATATTGTAGAAACATTTAACCTGGTGTTTGAATTTAACCGCTATCAAAGTCTTTATAGTCGTGGTCATAGAGATTCACCTGTAATGGTTTTAAATCATATGAGGTTGTTTAGAGGATTAATCGTTGTACGTAAATTGACCTAAATATCCATGTCAAAAAAAAAAAAGTAAATCACTATCTATGCTATATTATAAAGCATTTCACAAAAACTATTAATAACCAATTTTTATGCGTAAAATACGGTTTATTAATGCATATTACTTAAAACTCAAGGTTACAAGTAGATTTTGCGTATATACAATTTATTAAAGCTTCATATCTGAATTCGTGTAACTAATTGCAGATAAACATAATCAAATATAGGATAAGTATCTCACTTTAAATATAAAAAATTTAAAATATAATTAAGATAATTATTGAGTTCTAACATAATATTTTATTATTATCTTTATAAAATGTTATATTATTAAACCAAAAATAAATTATTTTATTATTAAAATTATATTAAATTATAATAAAAATTGAAAATTTTTAAATAGTTGATTTGATATTAACATTGATATTCTTTTTCAAATTTATATTTTATTCAAAAATAAAATCATTATTGTTTTCTTAAAAACACATAATCTATAGTATATTATAAAACATTTGACAAAAACTCTAAAAAATCATTTTTTATGCGTAAAGTACTGTTTATTAATGTATATTACTTAAAACTCAAGATTACAAATTGTGCAGTACAACTTATTAAAGCTCCATATCTGAATTTGGGTAACTAACTGCAGATAAATATAATCAAATACAGGATAAACATCTCATTTTAAATATAATATAATTAAGATAATCATTGAGTTCTAACAGAATACTTAATTATTATATTTATAAAATGTTATATTATTAAACCAAAAATAAATTATTTCATTATTAAACTTAAAAAAATTAAGTAAAGAAATTAAATTAAAAAATGAAAACTTTTAAATAGTTGATTCGATATTAACATTAATATATTTTTTTCAAACTTTTATGATATCTTTAAATTTTTATTTTATTTTAAAAAATAAAATCGTATTATAATATCGATAGAGACGAATAATAAAATTAAACATTGAAATCGAGATGTATCTCGTTGCATTGCGCGAGTACTCTTCTAGTTACATAAAGAGAACTTTTAAATAGTTGATTTGATATTAATATATTTTTTTTCAAAATTTTATGATATCTTTAAATTTATATTTTATTTAAAAATAAAATCATTATTGTTTTATTAAAAACACATAAAATCATATTATAACATCAACAGAAATAAATAATAAAATAGAACATTAAACTCGACATATGTCTCGCTATATTACGCGAATAGTCTTTTAATTTATATTAAAATATGCAACTGAGGATCTATGGTTATTGTTAAGATATTTCGTGGACCAGAAATACTAGTAGTAGGTAATTTTTTAATAGATATTTAAATTAAATGTTTATCGATTAATTTTAAAAAATTATTTATTTACCATTTAGTAGATAAGACACTTGGAAACAAATGAAAGCATGTCATGATACATGTGGGCAGCAATGGCATTGTCTTCGCTTCACTTCTAATACAAGTCTCCTTTTCACTTTTTATACCATACACAAACAAAAACACCCATAATCACCACTCATATCTATCTCTTCTCTATTTTTACTTTTTCCAAAATTTACGATACATATATTCTATAAAAACAACATTTAAAATAAACAACCATCACATATGATATTATATAAACGATAAATTTATTTATAATTTTGATTACAACAATAATTGTTTCTTAATGAAACTATTAATAAGTAAAAAAAAAATCATGTATGCCTATAATTTATGCAGTCATATATGTTAAATTGCGACACACCAAAGAAAAAGGGATCTTGCAAAGTTGTAGTAGCAATCATAGTCAAAATCCACCAAATTACCTATAAATTTTAACCCTTCATTCATTCATTCACCACCATACCATACCATAACCATACCATGCCTATTACCATAATCCCTAAAATGATAGTTTTCTTGCTTGTTTTCCTCTTCCACTCCACCATCCACCTCCCGTCGCCGGTGTCCGCCTCCGACCCTGACCCACTTCAAGACTACTGTTTACCCTCACCGCCGCCTCACACCCATCTCCCATGCAAAAACTCCTCATCTCTCACCGTCGACGACTTCGTATTTTCCGGCATTAAACATCCCGGAAAATTCACCAACAAATTCTCCGGCGTACCCGTCTCTTCCACCGTCTTCCCAGCCCTCAACACGCTCGGAATGTCGCTTGTTAGAGCCGATTTTGAGGTCGGCGGGATCAACGTCCCTCACTATCATCCTCGAGCTACGGAGGTGGCGTATGTGATTGAAGGGAAGGTTTATTCTGGATTCGTCGATACAGGGAACAAAGTCTTTGCTAAAGTGATTGAGAAGGGGGAGGTGATGGTTTTCCCTCGAGGAGTGTTGCATTTTCAGATGAATGTAGGGAAATCGCCGGCCACCGTTATTGGGAGCTTCGACAGCCAGAACCCAGGGTCGATCAAACTTCCGGCGGCCTTGTTTGGATCGGACATCGATACGGGATTGTTGGAGAAGGCGTTCGGATTGAAACGTAAAGATCTTGGAAAGTTGAAGAAGAGATTTGGAGTTCCCAAGGAAGAATAGGTTTGAGCTTTGAGAAATATCATTCTTTACATTTTTTCTTCATAAATTAAATAAATATATAGAATGAAGAATTATATGATAGAGATATCTCAAACATTTCATATATCTAACTATCATATCAAACCAGTCACAAATCCAGAAAATTAATGGGTGGGAAAAACATGTAAAACGAGGGTCAAAATAGAAAATGTAAGCCAGTAAACAAAGGTTTTTGATTTTTTAACTGGAGGCCTCCCTGGTGCTTAAAATATATTAACCATTATCGAGAAAATGGACGGGACCGGATTTGTTCGTTAAAATTAACGGGCGGATATGGACAATGTAAAAATAAATATAGACAGGTCCGCCCAGCCCATTTATGTTTTTGTAATTAATATTTTTTTTACCATTAATTAAAATTATACTTGTATATTTTAAAATTAAATTATTAAAGTTATAGGATGGGAATTGAGACTCTTGGTTTTTCTTGAGAACCCAAAAGACTCTACATTATTTTTGTTAGCATCCTTATGTCGAAAGTCCTAATCGATCAGCTATGGATAGAGTCAGTAGTTGCTTAAAGTTTTAATTGCAATAGTGTTTTTCTTAACTTTTTGGTTTCGCATTTGTTAACTAGGAGTTACACTTTTTAGGCCCGTTAGATCATGGGCAAGCCTGGCCCATTTATAGGGCGAGCAATGGCAAGTTGTCAAGCCCGAAAAAAAGATTTTGTTACAATATTAAGCCCGTTGGACAAAAAAACAAGTTAGGCCGCAAATGATCATCTCTATAACACACTATAGCACGACATTGTAGAGCAATTTGTACTCTTTTAACCCAACCTTGACACTCCAGAGCAATATCTGCTTGTCTATCCTACGTTACAAGGTACGTAGGTTGAAAGTCAAGAGGTAGTTGTCTCATTTTCCTAGATGCAAGAATGAGGACAGAAAGAAGCAAACAAGCAAAGAAAAGAAAGAAGAAAGAGTGCTTTAGGGCTATTACAGTTCCGCATTGGTTAGACTATAACAGTTTTTCTTCAATAAATGTTGAAACTCTCTTCTCTTCTTTAAAGCTCTTAAAAAATAATTTGACATAATTCCACAATTAGTTTTTTTTTGTTAAGAAAAGGAGTGTATCTTGGACGAGGCAAATTTTCACAAGTAATTGATTTTGTTGTGGATGAAGCGTTGTGACATGAAGTTGGGAGGATTTGGTTTGCAGTTCAATAGAAATTTAAACCGTAGGTCGGTATTGAGAACTCGAGACACGCAAAATAAACCAACTAAATAGCTGACTACTAACTGGAGAAAGTTACGATCCAAACAAACCATTAGAAAACACAATCTTCATTAACCTAATGGAACATCAGCTTGATCTAATCAAGTTTTCAAAGCATGGCATTTAGCACTTCGTTCCAGATATCAGGAACCCCGGGCAGGCACCAATGGCTGCAATCAGCCGAACCGTGGCCAGTGCGGTGCTGCTTCTCGTCTCCACCGCTACCAGATTGTGCGTAAACCGATGGGTGGCCGTCTCTTCGCAGTGCTGACATCGCGGTTATATCTTCCAGATAAACCTGAAATCTCATTCTTTTGAGCACACCTTTTAGAATCATCATCTCTTCTGGTATATGAGGGTGACTAGCATACCCCAATGGTTCCCTTTGCTTGTAGCACTTCCATCCATTGTCCCTGTGCAACTTTTTTTGCGTAAGGTACAACCACAAATGTATGGTTTTATTCTTTACAATTCAAATGCATCACTTCATGATACTTACGGTTATAAAGACAACTTTGTTATGCAATCTATCTAAAAACGTTACAGTAAGTTATGTTGTACACACCTGTTATGTCGAGGTGACATGCTACGAAATATGACTCGAGATTGACGTGGATCCAGGTTCAAATCGACCCATTTTGCCCATGTCCGAAGCCCTCTTTGGTATGCAACCATTCGGTTCATATCTCGCGATATATGGTTTCCCTCCATTAGCAAATCCCACCTGGAAAACATTGATTAGGATAACGAATTATAATGTACAAATCATTAATGCATTAATCGATCTGTTGTTCCTTACGAGGTCCATTTGTCTGAGTGGGTCCACCAATGTGCCGAATCAAAAACCAACACGTCAGCAGCTCTCCAGTACTTGCCATTCTCTTCTATCAAATCTAGATGTAAAATCCTCTTGTTTCCAGGCCCTCTCTTCAGTTCAACTAGAAGTGGAGCCCAACAAAATTCAATTGATGTCTCAAAATCCTGTACAATAAACAAAGCGTAAGGTACAACCCTTGTTTCCGTCTACGTCATATTTGTACAGCAAATAAATACATACGTTAATGATTCATACGATATGAACATTGATGCATGTGTTGATACGCTAAAAATGTCTAAATTGTACCTTTATCTGATACAACTTATTGATGTATACCCTTGGTATATATGCATCAACTGGTTGTACAGTACAACTTTGTTATCAGCGTATTAGAGAGACATGATAAGACTATTTTTTTTTTGTACGCCGAGTTAAAACAAGGTTTCAAGTAGAATGGGCTCACGAGGGCATGGAAGGCCATGGTAGGGCCGGCATACGTGACGGTTTTACGATCGGTGGGAACGACGGATTCGACCAAGCAAACAAGAGACTCCCATTGGTTTCTCATTATAGAGTCACCAACTAGCATTATTCTTTTCCTTCTCATCTTTCCAAGAAACTCCAATGCATCAAACCTATTAGCACGAGCCGAGTCAAATGTTGGTGTTATGGAGCTTGACTCATTAATTAATTTAAACCAGCTCTATTTATGTTTGAGATTAACTCGAGTTGGAGAATTACGAAACTCAAGATCGAGCAGCTTGTTAAATGCTCGATTCAGTAACACCCGTAATGGCTAACCATAAGATTTCCCCCCCTAACGAATTGAAATACATACCTAGGAATGGAGCAACCATGCGGTTTCCATCTCCATTTCTCGTAATCGGAATCCGGCCTCCCGTTTTTCCGACAAGTAACCCTCGTACTAAGATACGGGCAAGTGGCCGCATCATAAAGCGGATAAGTCTGATCGTACACCCATTTTCCCGACCCAAAATCACATTTTCGTAGTGAATCGTGACGGCTCTGGACCATGTTGATCTCCTCGTCCTCCTCGTCATCGAGCCATGACAACTCCTCAACCTCGAGTTTCGACGAGTTAGTCGATTTAAAGAGACTAATTAATAGCAACGAGAAGGCAAAGAAGCACAAAAAGAAGGAAGAGGAAGCCATTGCAAATGTTAAAAGAAAACAAGAAGTAGAAATGGAGGTATATAGAGAGGGCAAAGCAAGAATTTGCAAGTAGGGACACTTTGTAAAAAGTTGGACCAAATTTTGTTCAATTTAGGCATGACTTGCGGGAAAATGGACTACCATCAATCATGAATGTTGGGATATGTGTACATTTATGTCAAATATTGAATTATTGTAATTTTTTTAAGAGATGGATGTATCGATTAAAACTGTGAAAAAATATATGTTTTTAAGGTTTATAGATTATCGGCGAACAATTTTCATGGTCTAGACACGACAAACACTTGCTCATTTAACATGGCGTGGTATTCATCGGTACTCGGAGAAATAAGGGTAATGGGTCTTACTTTTTATAATTATTAGTTTTAAAGGTCGGGTCAGATGTCGTTGTAACGCTGTTAGAAAGATATTCATTTCCTCCAAAAAAATTGTTATGTATAGAACAAATATATGTGTAGAGGCTTATTCAAGGAATAACTGAGTTGTTTGTGGTAACAGTGAGAACCGATCTCAACCACACAAATTAATAATAAATGGTTGAAAATAAAAGAATAATTAATTGCTGAAATTTCAAAAATAACTCTCCAATATTTAATGTGAGTATGTAAATAAGGGAAAAAGAGTCAAAAAAATTTAATTTAATGGGATTACTTGAGCGTCCTAGAAATCCGTTAATCTTCTAAAATTACATTTCATCAAATCAAAACAAAAAACACAAAAGATCCTGTTGGTTGTGCGAGAAGAGGTGGAAAACAATTTTTAGGCTTTGATTGAACATGTTGTGTTACACTATGGTTAAAAAAAATTGGTCTCATGTGCTACCCAAACCACTAACCCATGATGAGAATTCTTTGGTAACCTACAACCAAGAACTCATAAGTCATAAGAGGCTACAAATTCCAATAGTTATTGATGCGGGACAAGGTGTTACAATACCAATAGTGTATTAGGTAACACAAGATGTTGTGTTACATTGTGGTAAAAAAATTGTGGTTTAATGTGTTACCCAAAAGATTATGGTTTCATGTAATAATTTATGAATGTAAAATTAAAATTAATTGGAAGTTTGAAACGTATGTAATTAATAAATAAATATTTAATCTAAATTTAGTAATTTACTAACATGCCCTTTTGCATTGATTTAGAAAAGAATAATCAATATATTAAATGATTGGTTGAGATTGGATCTTACGGTTGCCACAAACAAAATAGTTCTCATTTGATTAATCCCCTATATGTGTATATATTTGTATATATGTAATTAGTTTGGTGTGTTATTTTTGTTATCAAAAACTATAAAAGAACACATTTTATAATGACAGTGTGAGAGTGATTCAACTGGTTTGGTGCAATGAATGAAAGAATTTAATTAGAATTGACAAAATGACTAGGTTAGACAAGTGAGATGATGTACCAAAAGATGTTCGAGTCAAAACGTGAAAATTTTAATGGGTGGTGTTGGCTTCTGAGCACGATATATCCGAAAGAATAAATTCCCACATTTAAGACCGACTTAAAACACGGTGGGAGTTATTTGTTGTCCATAACTTGAAACTTATAAGAAACTCACAAATCTCATTTTCTATCTATGTGAGACGAGTTGTTACAAATTTTCCCACTTAAACTTTTGACGTCCTCGTCAGGTCTACCCATAATCTTCCTCCCTATGATCAGCAATGTGATATGTTACAAACACCCCTCTCGAAGACTCATCATACCCGATGTTGTATTCTGTATAAATAACATTGTATGTTTCATATAAATATACAATATTTGTTACAGTTCCAAATATATTTTTTTGGTTTTTATTTACGTTTTTTTATGAGCGAAACACTTGAACCGAAATTATTGAAGTAAAAAGCGAAAGGCGTAACTTTAGAAATAGGTCCCATGGAAATTATATGGTTTAATGTGAAGAAGGGTGAAAGTTAATTATGAAGGCATGGCAAGTCTAAAGGACCATGACCATCATCACTCCACCAACTATCCCCAACAACTAAAAATAAATAAAAATATATTAGTTATTTTATTCTAATTAAATTATTTAATATAAATTATTATCTATTAGTTATAAGTAACTTGAGTAACATATAAATTACTTATGTTTTATCGTGTTGTTCTTTTAAATTGTAAATTAATTTCATTAAAATTAAATAAATAAAATAATCAATTGGATATTGAGAATATAAATATACAATTCGTAATTTTTACCACAAGCATTTAATTGAAATCCTATGGAAATTTCGGTATAAAGTTGATTACTGGTAACTTCAATCGATATTATATAAAAACCTATTTTCAAGAATACCAATGTAAGGAAACATTTCTTTTGGTTTACTTAATGGTTGATGTTAGTGGAAGGGAGGGTGATCGAACCTATGACATGTCCTGCATTTTGGCAAAAATGTTTATTCCTTTACCAACTGAGCTACACACAAGAAACTGAAATCATGTAGAAATATCGCAGCATACATATGTATGTGCTTAAAATATGGGAAAAATCTATAAAAGCCCAACGGACTTTTTATTTTTAATTGATTAATTTATTGGTCAATTTTTTTGATTGAAAAAAAAAAGACTTGGACAGATATATATATAACCTTTTATTTACAAAAGGTGTACCTATAACCGGAATGGTGGTAAATAAGGTTAAAGATTAAAAAAAAAGGATCAGATGGAAAACCCTATTCTATCCACCAGTTGTTCCAATAGCAGCCCGAGCATTTTATTCCCAACATCAGATACCACTGTCAAAGTTGCCTAGTCATCTCAGGTTCGTCTTTTCCCCTCCTATCTTCTTCTCTTCTTATTTTTGGTCTTTCTTGCTCTCGCATCAATAAATATGGAGATGGGGGTTCGGTTTTTTTACGGTGTTAGATGATGCGACGAGAGTGTATACGAAGAGAGATGTTCGGGTAGCATGTTTTCCAAAAACCAAGGTTGATCAAACAACCATGTCTTTAAAGCATTGCCTCAAGACGTCTGGAGGAGAGTGGTGGATAACCTCGCGATGGGTGTTGTAGGTGGTGCTCGTTACCACACAACAAGAGCTGCAAGTGGTGTTTTTTTTCCCGGATTTATACATTATCGAAATATCTAGGGACATAATCGATCAAGATATGAAAGTCTGTTGGGTCTTTTCGGAATTTTCCAGTGATTTTACCAAATTAATCGATTTTATAGGTCAAAATGATGTATTTGACCTGTTTTAGAAAGTCCAATGATTAATTTATTTTAATAAAATTGTCCAAAAGTTTATTGGCGTTTTTGAACGTTTCCCTTAAAAAATTAAAATAAACATTTTTTTTATATGTAAAGTTATGACATCATACTCAACAAGACTAGACATTGTTTGACAATCATAATTTACCGTATTTTTTAAGTTATTGTTTGGATTGACATAAGCTACTTTATTGAAATGTTGGTTGGAATAATGTTTTATGAACATTTTGTCACTTTTTTCAATTATAACTCTGATTAATATTAATTGTTATTTATTATTATTAATTATAAATAAACATCGATAAATAAAAATACTTTTTAAGGTCAAATGTTGACGATGAAATAGGTAATTTGTCACAAATATTTCAATGTTCCACTTACGAATTCCAGAAATATATTCAAATAAATTCTAAAATTTGTTTGTTTACTTTTTAATAGTTTCATTAAGAGTCAACTTCTGAGTTGCTAAAATGTGAATCTTGTTTGGTAAAAAAAATGTTGTCTCTTAATGGTTTTAAAATCATCTGGATGATTTTGCATCATAAGCATCCCTTAACCATTCAGTGTCCTAATTTCATTGTAAACAACTACCAAATAATTATACTTCATTTTGAACTATATCATGAGAGTCTCTTAATCATTCTGACCACTCAATCATTTTACATCAAACCATTCAACAGTTACCAAACAACCCTTAGTCTTGTGTCTTCAATAACCAATATCAAAAGTTACATAACTAAAAATACCTAAAACTGTTGTATTCAATATCAATTGCTCATTTCATTACCTCCTTGACCTATCCCGTTTTTTCGCTTTGACTGTCACGCTTTCTACGCTTCTACAAAGCCATTGTACGTCTCATAAATAACTATTTTTTTTATATTAAGTTATAAGTTGTTATTAAAACAATACAAATGATGTAAATTAGAATTAAATGAAGGTCCAATATGTAAAATAACGTTTATGGAGGTAGTCTAGGTGTAAAATTTAGTTTTATTTCAAATATTTCCATTTCCATTTCCATTTCCATTTCCATACCCCAACAAAAACGCTTTCTTAGTTAAACCCTAGTCCTCTTTCCCTAAACCTCAGAGTTCAGAGAGCTGTAGAGGTCGAGGAAGAGGTCTCACAGTAATGGCGGCATTTGATCATGTTCGGAACATGTATGACGTCGCTCTAAAGCCTAGACTTCTACGTTCACTTATCAAAGAACACATCCCCGATGAGAAACAGCAGTTGCGTAATCCATTAGAGCTCTCACACGTTGTCTCTGCAATCAAAACTCATGAATTGTTGTCTGAACGCGTTGTGCCATCTGCTGATAACAAAAAATTGATCGAGAAATGGAAATCTGCGGTTGATTTGTGGGTCGACCGCTTGCTCATGCTTGTATGTAGCAACATGGTAAGTTTCAATTCAATCTGCAATAGAAGTTCTGCTTTTTTAATCGCATTATGTGGTAAAAGTTGGACTTCCTTGTGAAGGTGAAACCGAGACCTCCTTCACCCCACATAAAGGAATGGTAATGAAAAGCACAATTTAAGGGGTTTTGATGTGTAAATCACTAGAATAATATTCTAGACGAAGAAATCGATTAAAGTTTAATATTAAATATCTTCAAAGATGCGTTTAAGATGTATTTTCTATAAGATAGTGATATATATTGGGTGAAATTTAGTATAAACGCATGTTAACTTTAGCGAGTCAGTTTTAGCAAAAAATGATGATTGCGAGACAAATTGTCTTGGAATCATAATGTAAAGTTATTGAATTCCCAGTTAGCACATAGGGTCATCAACTACCAGAAAACACAGGATGTAAATTGGTCTCATAAGACCACAAAAATTCGTTTCACTCATTTGTTCCTGGACAAACTAAATGCCTTTTAATTACTTTATTTGCTTATGGGCTGAAAGGGTGTAGTATAATAATATGAATATATATATGCTTTCGTTGTTGAAATAAAACTTGTCTTGCTTAGACTTCTGCGTTACTCTTATGAGATATATGGTTTATCTAATCCTAGAGAATACAGGTAGCTCTAAAGTTATTACAGTTTATTTCTACCAGCTAATAAGAGCAAATCTAATAACGTGATAGTTTTTATCTAGTTTATAGTTTCAGAACTGCTGATCTGAATATACTTAAAATGTGGTGTAGCCAGATAAATGCTGGGCTGGAATATGTTTGTTAGGGATGACTTGTGAAGAATGCAGTTCCGAGCGGTTCCTTGCATCTTACTCTGTTTGGTTTCAGAAGTTGCTTTCACATCTTCAGGTAATTAGATTTTATTCTGCTTTTCTATTATGATGAATATTTATGTTTATAGGTGCTGTAATGTCATGGAAACAATCTCTTTACCCCTTGGGGTAGAAGCAAGGCCTGCATAAGTCCTAACGCTGGACCCTAGCTTTGTGTGAGATACTGAGATTCACTGGGTTAGTTTGACTTGGTTTGGTTTAGGTGGCTGTAATGTCCGTGGTTGGGTTTAGTCAATGTTGCCAACTATCTTGGAATTTCGAAGATTAACAGTTTTGCACAATGTCACAATATTAATATTCTGAACAACTCTGAAGAATTTAGTCAAAAACAGTATAAGATCTGATTGGATTTTGAATGATAGATGGAGGGGGAAGAGTTAGAATTTGATTTTATTGGAGTGGCTGACATATAGTTCTGTTTTTTATATAATTATTTTATGCACGGGTGTATCGATTTGGCATGACCACCAATGAAACACAATTACTGGACAAAACTATGTACTAAGAAGCTTTGGAGCTCTTTTGAAGTATTTAAGATACCTCTGCTATCTGCTTAGTACTGTTCTGTTGGTTCATTTTAAAGCTTAAACTGTTCAAATTACAGATTTTGCTTGGCCATTTTGTGGAATGCAAAACTCAAATGGTATAGAAAAGTTCAAACTGATATAAGCCGATAATGAACTGTTGTTACACCATCTTGATGACTGTTTCCAAGTAGAAAATATGGTTAAAAATTTCACGAGGAAAGGTAACCTGAAAACATCAACACACATGTGCTTGTTGTACTCATTTAAAGCCAACTCCAACAATCCACATCACATATTGACTCGTGGCGTGCGCTTTTTGTTCATCTCTATTTATCTTGCATTGCAAGTTGGAAGTTGAAACTGTCTTTCCTGAACAGTAGGATACTAATGGAGTGATCTCTTAAGAACCTCTTTAACTATCATCAAATTACTTATTGCAAATTATGGCGGTGCTATGGGATTATTTTTGTTTATCGTTTGAAAATTTTTCTTTTCATTTGACTTATTTCATGCCAAATTTGCTTGCAATTATTGGATAGTCGGTTATGACTTCGCTACTTTTTAGTCCATTCAACAATTCGATAGCACACATCCTCATGAAGCAAACAACAAAAAACAAGTATGACCTTGGATGATCTAGTTCCTTGCGGAACACCAACACCAAGAACACATGATACGTCCTTAATGTATCCTACGTATCTGGAAAAATCAAACATCAAAGAAGATAAAAATAAATATTTGGTGCATCCCAATTTTTTTGGCATATTCCTAATATTTCCTAGACTACCTATTTCAATATCCATGCTTCGTCCTTTACATGATTGTGTGAACCTTATTGTCTAGATTGAAAGCTAAAGGTAAGACTTAAAATTGGTCTGACTGAAGATTGTTATAAGTTGATGTTCTTTGTGGCTACAGAAACCTTCCTTTTTGGATCTAAGTCATCTAACACAAATTTTAAATCTTGCATCAGCCTCCTGCAGAATCTCACTTTGTGAAGGCTGCTTGTTGTGTCTCGATATCAGATCTTCTTACAAGGTATATTTTTATACTTTACTCAAACCATAAGCATGTTAAAGTTTAGAAATTGAGCTTTAAGTTGATGGTGCCAATTTTTTCACTAATGTTACGGTTATTCAGGTTGAGAACTAGAAGTTATGATGAGACAGTGAAAGGATAACACAATTATGAAATTTAGCATGTCTACAATGTAATTATTTGTATAAATTTTGTGTCATATGGATGAAATTCATTAATGATTGTTTAGCTTTGTTACTTTTTTTGGTCAATTGTAGTGTTTGTTTTACCATTTAAGTAGTATGATGGTGTGTTTTGTAAATCCGTTAAATGAATATTTTTTCCATTTTTGTACGCTCTGTACAACCACATTCTTTTTGCATTTTGTAACGTACAGTGGTTCCTTACCAACCGACACTCTAACAAAAACTGGCAACGAGTGCTTTTATTATGTATTCTGTTCTAATGCAATGTTTTTAGTCCAGTCAGTCCTGTCCTTTTCTGTCCCATACAGTCTGTGCACCAACGCCACCATAAGGAATAGGCCTGTCAGCTTGTTCAACTTCATGTAATGGCCAAACAGACACTTGACTGGGTATGGTTATGCTTGAGAGCTATTGATCCTAATCAGCGTGATTCTATGACAATGTTAAACCAAGCGGTTGCAGCAACTCCGACTTTAGGATAACTTTCTGAATTCAGAGTTTGCTGTTATTGTTGACCAAATTTTAGAAAGAAAGGATGAGACTGAGTAGTGTGCCATTTCGGAAAATCATATATTGTTCTATGAGCTAGCATTTAATTCCATCTATGCTTAGGTTTTTAGACATGAGGCACCAAGATGTCAACTTTTCTGTGTTTGTGTGGCATCTGATTTCTCTAGTAAGAGGCTGCTTTCTGGCCCTTTACACTAAGGCCCCTTTTGTTTACATTGACAGTCAAGGTGGTCAAGCTACCTGTGCCTGTCTGGTCCTATCATTTTGCGGATATGAATTTTTTCTAGTTACTTTCCATGACCATCTTAATTTGAAAGTGCAGTGTGATCTCATTACAGTGCCTAACTTATCAGGACTCAGAAATGGGAAAAAATAAATGAGCTTACCACTGTTGCACATCTGAAGCACATCCTGTTTCATAAAAAAATATGCTCGCTTTATATCTGACTTTCTTTTCATCCTCATGTCTGATATTAATCCCTCTGAACTAGGTTGGGTGGGTTTCCGAATATGAAGAAAGATGGAGCTTCACATGCTGCAAAACTTCTTCAGCCAGTTTTAAAGCTGATGCATGAGGATAGCTCAGATGCTGTATGTGTTTTTGGTACTACCATGTTCAGAGTTATTTATTTCTTATTTTTATGCTTTAGCAGCTAATACCAACTGCATGCACTCGGAACTTGGTAGTCATTAAAGAAGATTTATTTACTTTGCAATTACTCATCCAATAATCTTCACTTTATTCTAAAGTGTACTCCCTCACCCAAGCTTTTTGCTTATTGGTAGCTTTCTCATTCGTCAATGAGAAACCAAATCTTGTGAGCATCTATGCAACTTATGTGTGTCATAGTTGTTGGTAATATAAGAAGCAGGGTCTGTTATATGTATGTCAGCTCTTCCTTTTATGTGTAATAATTGTCTTGTAGCATTTTCTTAGAAAAATGGCATGTCATAAAATGGATGGACATTGATGCATTGGAGCCAAAGGGGGCCGCTCTAACATAATTTATGGAGCAGCTTCCTTATGTGTATATTTGTTTCTGTGGGGTATATGTACCATTGAGGTGTTTATAATTCCTTCTTTACAATCAGTCCCTGGCATGTGCTTGGTTGTATTACTATACATGCTACTCTCTGATTTATATATGTTTTTGTTGCTTAAATTATTCGTTTGATTGGTACCTGCTATATGTTTGAACATTTTTATCTTCAAGAATGATAGGCTATAGCTGTACTGGCTTCTAGTTACCAATGGCTATCTGATTGCTCCTTTTATGCAGGAAGGTGCTGTTCCTTTGTTATGCACCATTTTGAATTTCTTTCCATCTTCTGTCCAGAAGAACTATGATTCAGTAAGTTATCGGATCTTTTGCTAAGTGTGTACAATGAATCAATGATCTTTATTCTAGCACATGAATACTTCTTTGTATCTGAACTATCCCATGGAGAATAAGGAATTAGGAAATACAGAGCTATTTAGTCTTAGCAGTTCAATAAATTCTCTATTTTTGCCTTTCACCTTATGCAACTTGCAATATTACTATTAGTAGAAATCTGCAACTAAGACATTTTATCGTTTACAATATCATTTACTTGTACGGCGTTACATTTGTCATTATGATCTAATAGAAAAGTTGTGAAGATGGTAACATTAGCAACCAAAAATTATTGGCTGATGCATTAGGACAGCTGTAGAATATATGTAATGACAAGTTCATTGGATATACTGATTTGTTAATATACATTATTGGTCACTTACTATCTTTATTATTCAGCCAATTTGGCTTTAACACAGGCTGTTCTCAGTTACAACTTTGCTGACTGACCATAGTGTTTGTAGTAAATATAAAAATTCCTTTTCTTTTATCCTAAAAGACTACAACAAACGAGATGCTTTTTCAATAAACAATGGTTCTTGGTCAATTTCTGAAAATTGAGCTGGGTATGGAAAATTTGTTCCGCAGGCTGAAGCTGCTATTGTTACAAAGCTTATGTCTGGGAAATGCAATGCTAATATGTTGAAGGTGAGACCTATTTTATATGCTTCAACATTTAATAGGTTACTGTTGACAAAAAATTCTGAAGTACTTTCTGCTTTGACCAGAAACTTGCTCTTTGCTTATCTTTACTCCCAAAATCGAGAGGGGACGAAGATAGCTGGTCGTTGATGATGCAGAAGATCTTGCTAGCAATAAATCTCCTTTTGAATGATTCACTCCAAGGTTTGGAAGAAGGTAAGTAGATGGAGAGTTATTTGGTGATGTTGATTACGTCGGCAGTACTTACAATGTTATGTGCACACACTGCAGAAACTACAACCAATGAAGCCATGCGGGCATTGGTCCCTCCAGGAAAAGAACCCCCACCTCCTCTTGGAGGCCTAACAATATTAGACATTTCTAACAAGGCAACGAGGCCAGAACGACTCTTTATGCCTAGTATATCAGCACTGATGCTCTGTTGTTCTACAATGCTTAGAACTTCTTATCCTGTTCAGGTAGCTTCAACTATTTATATGTTATGTTCACCTTCAATTAAGCTAAAGGGGTAACTTATTTGGAGTTCCATTTGTTTCAATCATAGATCAAAGTTCCTGTTAGGTCATTATTAATGCTTGCTGGAAGAGTGCTGATGGTGGACGGTTCCTTGCCACACACCTTGTACCCCATCATGACTGCAATGCAACAGGAATGTATTTGTACTGAACTCCCAGTTCAGCATTCATATAGTTTGGAAATCCTATGTGGTATTGTCAAGGAAGCACGCAGGTGAACTCTTTCTTTATCCTTTAGGTATTAGTATTGTTTATGATGGAGCATGTGATTTCAGTGATTGCAAGGAGAAAAAAGATAATGGATCGGAGTCAATTATTTTTAGTTATGTTCTTAAGTAATAAGGAAAGTGGCTAATATGCTTGTCTGAAAAAGGTGCTATCTTGTCTGTGTTTGCTTAATATGTTTGATCATGGCATACTTCCTCTTCATGTAAAGGAGCATATTTCATGTTGTTATTTGTATTTAGCGTAATATACTTCATTCCAAAAGATACAAATATCCTCTTCTCTGAAATTTGGTAATAACACCATTAATTTTGTTCTTCCAGCAATTTTTATTATGTAGGAATCACTGAATCACGGATTAGCTCCTTGAAGGACAATTTGACTTGTAGATTGTAATTGTAAAATATGCTGAACTGAGTATCAAACTGTTATCAAATGGCTCTGGAGGCTTATCACTTGCTGATATGCCAAAAGTGTACAAATAGCTTATGCTTACATTTATCTTCATCGTGTTATTTTGTTTGCTTGGGAACAGTACAAAGTTTCCATTTACTCTGATGGTGCCTTCCCGGTTTTTTGTAAATCTCACACCTGCTTTCATCGCTGTAGATTTCTTACATGATCGCCCCAGGTCTAACTTATTTCTTCATCTATGCCCAAGAATATATCAGTTAATCTGAGATTTCTGCGGAAACTTGACATCATTGGATATATTGTCATAGTCAAACCTGTACCTCCCCCAGTGATATTTTTTGAAATTCCATGACGTTCGTGCTGTACATGAACTGTGATGGTAGACAGTTGATTTTTAGATTTTGGTGGTTGCAGATATCTTATAAAACTATGGAGTGCACTCGTTGTAGATTTTCATCCCATTTTATGAGAGCTACTAACCTTTTTAATTATCATAATCACTCACTTTTACACAACACATCATTCTTGCAAAAATGCTAAAAATCATTGTATCTTGCTGGATTCAACGATTTTGGACATAAAATGCCAAGATGTTCTTTATTTTGGCATTTACATTTCCACAATTTCCCCCAAACATTTTTCTTGCACTTTTTGCAAGAACAATCGTTTGTTTGTAACAAAAAACCAATTGATAGGTGGAAAGTTTAACTGCTATTTTATAATACTATGGATCTTTAGTCTTTTGTTGAGCTTCCATTTCTTGTATAAACATATATCTTCTGCTTGTCTATTTCTTAGTCTTGCCAACATGTTTACCTATTTCAAGTGCTATGACACTTGTTATAACTTGCTTCATGTAAATCTCATTTGGATTTGTGGTGGTTGTTCATGTTATGCAATGTTCTTTTTCCTTTGCAGTCAACTGTTTCCACATGCTGCACATATTGTTCGACTCGTAACGGAGTATTTCAGGAGATGTGCATTACCGGAACTTAGGATAAAAGTCTATGCCCTCATTAAGTTGATGCTGATGTCCATGGGGGTTGGTATGCTTTTAACTATCCTTTCGTTTAATAACGTCACTGCATGACTGTATAGTTTCAGCAACAAGTTCATTCATCTTTGCACCCACATTTTCTCTCGGTATTTCTTAAAACCAATTTCTCTGTTTCTATTTGGATTGAACCTTTACGACCTTTTAAAATGTTTAACAATAAATAATAACCAGATCAGTCTTTTAGAAGATAAACAATGTCAAAAATGACTATAACATTGTAGACATGAGCCGTTTTGTCTCTCAGCTTTAGTCATTATGCTTGTGAGATTGAAAATAAAATTCTCGTAACACAAAACTCTTTTTTCCCTGTGAAATTGTTTCTAATTGGGGTGTGAGTTACTTCCCATTTCACTATATTTTCTATGGAGTTTGCAATGTGGCTGTGTGTAATTAACAAAGTATTGAGGCAATGATCATGATTGTCGTTGTGCAATGGAGCAGGGATAACAATGTACCTAGCTGAAGATGTTGTAAGTAACGCTTCTGTTGATCTGGATTCAGTCGGTCATCATGGTGGTGAAGCATGTTCTAATCCAGTCTTAAAAACATCTGAGGCAGTGCCTCAGCCTATGCAAAAGAAAAGGAAGCATGATATGACAATAACATCTTTTGGAAATCAACCTCAAACATCTAGTTTACACAAAAACCATACTCCAATTTCTGTGAAGATTGCTGCACTTGAGGCACTAGAAACACTTCTAACCGTGGTATGTTTTCGTATTCCATGAAACCATTTCTATTTCATGTTTAGTCATAAAAATCCATTAAATTCTCTCGGTAGCTATCTCAACATGTGCTATTGCATCTATATGCACACAGGTTCATGTTTCTAGAAGGTTATCCGAGTCAATTTCAAGTAATTTTTTAGTGGAGTCTTGATTCTTTAGAAGCTACTAGTCACCAGTTGATCATACATCTGCCTTGTTCAGATCAATTAGTGCAGTTGATTCATGTTTTAGACATGTGTGTGTATGTATATACTGTTTGATGATCATATGTGCTTTAATTTTATTTGATTTATTGTCCCATAATTTTTTTTTTGTTATTGGCCTTTGATCCAAACTATAGATTGATGATAATACTGATTTTGGCAGGGTGGTGCATTGAGATCTGAGAGATGGAGGTCAAATGTTGACGTGCTTCTCATAACTGTATCTACAGATGCTTGTAAAGGTGGATGGACAAAACAAGCAAATAACGTTTACACCCTACACGACAGTAGCTCTAGTTGGGCTGATTTCCAGCTTGCTTCTTTACGTGCACTTTTGGCGTCCCTTCTTTCCCCTGGTCGTATTCGCCCTCCATATCTGGCCCAGGGTCTTGAGCTTTTCCATAGAGGTATCGTTGTATTTCAAAATCCTCAATATTTTGACTTTATTTGTTAGCAAAGTTCATTTATAATATCAACTTATTTCCATCCACAATGGAAAATAAAGAGAGATTAGCTTTTCAAACCATCATATTTGACACTTCTTTTCTAGACAACCATCATACTTGCTTAAACGCCGATAAGAAAATGCTTCAATTCGGCAGAAAACAGAATACAGAACAAAAAACTCCAGTTGCCAATTAGAGTGTTTCGATTTATTGTATTGCTTCTTTTGCTATGTATAATTCATCTCTAAGAAAACATGTGCAGGTATGCAAGAAACAGGAACAAAAGTTGCAGAGTTCTGTGCACACGCCTTATTGACGTTGGAAGTTCTGATACATCCAAGGGCCCTTCCGCTGATAGATATTGCATCTTCCATCGACTACCCTGTTAATGGGGTAAAAGACAGTTTTATGGATAACAACACATATTCTGGTGCTCAGAAACACCACCTATATTCAGGTGGCACATCCAGAAATGGACTCGAGTACCCTGAATCGGAAGAGGATGATCTGTATGAAAAATGGGTAAAAGATGTTGACGGAAGCAATGCGCCTGAAATTCAGCAAGAAAAGAACACGGTAGAGAAAACATCAACACCAGCGGAACCGCTTGTCTCCTTCGAGGGCCCATCTGGTTCCAAAGTTCCTGAAGAGAAAGGAAAGGGAATTCTGGTTGAAGAAATCAATAAGCAGTCTGACATTCCAAGTCAAACAGCCGATCATCATGCATCCGACATGGAAACCGAGATGACAGCAGCCAAGGACGCCTCCGGCGGTGATCTGGAGACAGCGACAGGAAGAAGCTTTGTAACAGTAGTGGGTTCGGAGGGAGGTAAGGAGTTCATGTTTGCATTGGGTGTTGATGACAAACTGATGGATGAGATACCTGATATTGTTGATGTGGAACCTGATTCTGATGAGGATTAGATTTTTGAAGTTTGCAAATTTTGATAGGAATCCAGAGAGGAAACATGTTAATTTGATGTTGGCAAAATTTTTACAGGCTCTTCTTGTGCGCATTTTCAATTTACTGATCAATGATGAAGAGTATTTTGGTCATGGAGTAGGTTACACTTTTATTTCATCGCATACGACTCTTTAACCAGTCTCGGTCAGGATATGGTTCGGGTGCTGCTGACATGAAAACATGACAAGGACCGTAAATCTTATATGCTAAGAAGCATAACAATGACCGAGAATCTTACATGGTAAGTGCTTACTAGGTAATAAAAATGTATACCAACGTTCCATTTTGATGGTCGAGTGAAGGTGGTGATTCTTAACGATAAGCATTTGGTAGATGAACTCTAAATATAATGATTAGTTTACAACAAACCTATATGATACAAGTACCGTGGTAAGAAAGTTACTTCATTGTGCGTTGGTATGCATGATAAAACGGGGTATGACAGTATGAAAATCAGACTTTTTTTCTATCCCGCTATATTGATAAAATGCTAAACTATTTATGTCAAAATAAAATTTTTCATCCACCTGCATCATTTTCGACCGTTCAATATTATCGAGTCTAGTGCTGTTCACGTACACAACGGACCCTCATTATTTTTGATGGAAGAGTTACAATTTTTTATTGCAACTTCTTTGTTCTATTCTGTATGAACCATCGGTTCTTTAAACTTTCAACTGATTTTCTCGTTTTTTTTTAAATACCAAAATAATAATAATTTTCAATAAATAAATCGATTTTAAAGATACCATAGAAATATAATCTTTTTCTTTCCCTCAAAATTATTCATTTTTTTCTTCATAATCTCAAGAGATATTCTAAAAGAAATCCGAATACCATAAAAGGTAACGTTTTATTTATTTATTTTAATTTTAGATTTTTTCGATAAATATAAATTGTTTTCAATATCTATACTATATTATAAAGCATTTGGCTAAAACTCTTAAAAACTTCTTAAACTCTTAAAACTCTTAAATCCGTTCAT